CTTTTAGTCCAGTTTGCTGCTGTTGACTCATTTTCTCACCTAAAGTGGGTAACTTAAGTTCTGTGGTTATGTTTATAAACAGGACATGGTTAAAACAACAGGTGTTTAGATGTTCTTTACCTTAAAAGAAGAAATTTTCTTATCGTGGGATGGTTAAGTACGTAGAAGTCTTAAGTATTATATGGTCTAGTGAGTGTCTTTAAAAACAATGACTGAAAAGCTAGTAAGATGAGAATTTACTAACATACACCTAAGTCTTCATAGTCTGGAGAGGTATCTTCCCCTTGCCTTTCATGGTGAATCTGTCTCTCCACAGGATTCCAGTTTAATACAGTTACTAAAAAAATATTTGAGTCTTTGAAAGTTTAGTTCTGATTAACTGTGTTGTATACCAAATTTTTATTGTAGTGAAAGGAGGTTGGTGTAGGGGAAAAAAAAGCCATGCAGTAGAGGAAAAAAAAAGTGTGAAATACAGGTTTGTTTGGTTTTTTGTTTTTTTTTTGTAAAGATGGAAATAGTGATGGTGAGGGATCTAGAGGGAGGGGTAGATAGCAAATTCAGTTAATTGGTAAGAGATACTGGCAGCAGCAAACAGCCAAACAGGAAACATTTGGGCTGTATTTCTGAAGGCATTATATTGTAGAGCAGGAAGATAATACTCCATCATTATATTGCTCTAGCATATCTCCCCAGCATTATCAGCTTTTTCTGGAACTCACAAAGCACATCCTTAGTCAGGTATTGCAAAGCAGAATGTGGTGAAGGCAAGCGTGATAGAAAATTTAGCGGCCTGAGAAAGATCAAGACTTAGGACAACTTGATAAAGGGGCTAAAATGAATTCAGAAATCCTAAGGCCAGTGAGAATTGAAGGATTTTAAATTAATAGATGAAAAAAAGTACAAGTATGATTAGCTCAACTTAGTTCAGATTTCAGCAGTGAAAGAAAGGAGATCACAATGAGCTGTTTCACAGAATAGTCTTACTTTGGAAGCAATGTTGAACTTGTGGGGAAAAATATCTTTGCTCTTGATGATTTTATATTCAGTTTGCCACTGGCAAGGTAGGAATCCAGAGCTAATTTTTCCCCCATCTCTAATGTGTCTGTTTCAAGTTCCTCAGCACTGCTTAGCTAATATATAGTAGATGTCTACTATTTCCCCCTGTGGATGACAATGAAGATCAGTCCTCAAATACAGCTGTTGATTTCATGTGAAATGTACTTAGCATTGGGTTGATTCAGAACTTTGGAAAACTCTAGGATTGCATATATTGAACAACTGGGTCAAAGCTTGGGTTTTCTTCATGCATGTGTTTAGTGAGTAGTTACTTCAAAGGCTCCACTCACCCCACTTCCCACTCTTCTGAAGGACTGTAGGTAGTTGTACTGGTGATAGTGCAGGAATCCATAGGACAAAAAGGGTGTGTTTGTCATAAAGCTGAATACTGCCTTTTTGTACTGCCACTCCCTCAGGTGAGGGAGACTGAAAGAAAGGCAATCATTTTGCCTGGGTTTTTTTTGATTAGTTGTTTGGTTTTTGTTTGGATTTTTTTTGTTTGTCTGATTGATTGGGTTTTTTTTCCTAAGGGAAAATCTATCCAGCTTGTTGGACATCTTTCTATTAAAGAGGAGATGATAGTTTATTCATGCCCGGCACAAATCTTTCCCTTGCCTAAACATAAAACATTGAAATCATGACCTTGTATGCATCTTTTTATTTGCCAGAGATCCATAGTCTGTTGCAGCTCAGAAGTCAAGCTGTCAAGCAATCCTTGATGAACCAAATGACACAACCTTGTCAGTAATTCAAATCTCCCCTGGGCCACAGGAGCTAAAATATAACCCCTGACTAATGTGTCCAGCTTTGTGAAGTAGTAGCAGCTTTAACAATTGGAATTTCCATTACTTGTTTCCTTCCACCTTAATTTAGCATTGACACTAGTGGCTTTTATTTCATTCACTTCATGTCTGTGCACTCCCAAGCATGCAGTTGTGGCTCTCCCAAAGTCGGTTCACTGTAATACGCACAGCATGGTCCCCTAGCACGTGTGAATTGTTTCCGCTGGTGTAACAGCTCTGCTGGGCTTGTGGAAGGACAGCTCTGCTCGGGCTCAGAGGCCTTTGCTGGAGGTGGTGGCACTCTCCTCTGCTGGTACCCATCCAGCTTCCTCGCAACTGTTCCCATCAGTCAGCTGGGAATAGCTTGGGGCAGGAGGGGGGCTGCCTGGGGAGCTCTGGAAAATCCTCTGATTTGATATGTGTAGAGAAAATGTCACCCTGCTCCTGGAATATGTTTTTTGTTTAAATGTCACCCCTTACATCAGTGACCTCATCTGACTCAGCACTCAGCATAGCTTCTCTCTGAAGGGAGGGAGCTTTAAGCAAGTCATGGATTTTGACATAAGCAGAGAATGTAGGGAAGAAGGCACACCATGAGAAACAAAATCTGAGCAAACAGAAATTATTTTTGAAACGGACTAGCAGGCAATTATGTAAAACAACTTAAAATCTAAACATCAGAAGCCTCTGGAAAAACAAGGAAATTGACAGTTCTGTGAAAATAGTTTATTTCAGCATCTGGTTTCCCAGAAGGTTTTGCTGAGGTTTGTGCTGGTGTAGCTGTGGCAGCACTGTACCTGCTACACTGATGTCTCACCTTTGAAAGCAGGGTGGGGCTGAAAGAGCCATCTGGATGGATCACCCGGTTTATTTGGAGGCTGATTGTGCTAAAAGTCTGTAGAAGGTGAGACCTATGCTAAGGTTGTCCCTAACAAATGGATTTGTGACTACAGCCTCAAATGGATTTGTGACTACAGCCTGAGCTTCTGTAGCATTTTAACTTCATTATTAGGAGCAGAACTTTCTTCAGACAGGCAGAGGGGATACAGACATTAGAGAGGCTTGGAGCGAGGAAACTCTGGGATCTTCTTTCCCTGTATTGCACCTGGTAGGGGTAGTGTGGATGCATGAAAAGAGCTGTGGTCCTGATGTGTTGAAGGGAAATGTTGGCCAGGACGCTGGCATATCCTCTATACTTTCCTTTTAAAAATGCCAAGCTATCCTGAACATTGAGGCAGACACGGACAGAAACCAAAGGAGCAGGAACAAGTGACCTCAGTTTAACATTTCATTCAAATGACAGAGCCCCGAATGTGATGCCCGCTCTCGTTTCTTAGCTCACCACTCAGCCTGAAGGATCTCTCAGATCCTTTCTGATGTCCTGATAAGAAAATACCATGTTATAGGTGGGAAAGTAGGACAGAAGCACATAGTGTTTGGTTAAACAACATCTCTGTTTCTTAGAGCTTAGCTCTATTCAGTTTGTTGTGTGGTTTTATTCTGTTCTGGGTTTGCTTCCCCCCCCCCTTTTCTGTTATTTACACAAATGACTGAAGATTTAGGTATGGGAAGGTAACATGCACAGAATTTTAAATCCATAAAACTGTGGTCTTTCTTCTAACACTTATTTATGTGATACTGTCTGTAGTAGCGAAGCAGCAATTTTTTATATTTATCTTACTCCTGCTTTTATTCTGTTCTCCTGAACTCTTGAAATGGAGCCAAGAAAGGGCACTAAAAAAAGCAGTGAATTCCTAGGAAAAAGCCAGCAGTGAATTCCTAGGAAAAGTAAAGTGCAATGAGACTATACCTTCAAACCTTTGTATGTGCATGTGGCTTTCAAAAAAAAACCAAAAAAAAACCCCCCCCAAAAAAACCCAAAAAAACCAACAACTAGTACTAGATAAACTGGCAGGATGGGAAACTGCCATTTTAAGTTCAACAAGTCAGTTTTGCCTCTCCTCAAAATAATCATCCAAACATCAGTGGTTCTGGACTTACAGAGGACAGGTTATAAATACTCTTAATGTAAATGTACCTTCAAGGTGTTTGTGAGACCTCAAAACCCTGCTTTATTCTCAGGCTGTATCTTGCTATTTGCTTTCATTTCGGTTGGGGCCAGTTCCACTGGCTTAGTGTAACTTTTATTTAAATCTGTGTGAATTGCTGCGGTTTAATGTGGACCTCTGGCTAAAACCTCTGGTTTAGTCTAGTGCCTATGCAGAGATTAATTATTCCCTTGTACAAATAGCTTTTCTGGCACTGTGAATGTTAGACAGAAACATTTTTTGCTTCATGGTTTTGCAAAATTATTGACCGTCTTCTTTGACAAAGACTGAGTTCCTGGTAGTGTTTGCTCTCTGCTGTTTTGTAATCAGATATTTGTCATGTTTTAAGGTAGGTGTATTGGCAGGGTGATCAATGTTCAAGCTGAGCTGCCTCATTCTAGTGCATTGTGTGTGTTTGCTTGTCTTTTTGATTATCAAAGTAGAACCCATGTTTGGGGACATTTCCCTTTTTTAATATAATGGCAATTTCTTTCTAACCAGAGGATAAAGGAGGATAAGTGCTGTGAAGATACAGAAGAGAGGTTCTGGAGGTCCTGCACAAATTAATGACTTGAAAGGGGTGAGCATTATTTAATGTTTGTAGCTTTACCCTGAGAGCAGAAACTTTTTGTTTATATCTGTAGTTTTACCAACAGCTTCTTCCCTACCCTCATACCCTCTGTATTTTAGCAATTTCTGCTCTAGGGCAGAAATGCTATCCAGCATTACTGAACAAGAGTTATAGTTTTATGGAACTCCTAAGAACTGGAATGTAAACTATGAAAAAATCAAGCAATTAAAGAAGCAATTAGCTAACTGTTTGTATTCTTAGACTTTAATTAAAGCGTCACACCTTTAGAAGACTTGTATTGAAATGATGAAACAGGTATGTAGTGAAACTGTGCTTTTATCACAGAAATTATATGCTGATTAAAAGTATTCCATGATCTTTCTGTATTCAGAAAAACTAAATGTTAGTTTTCCTAGGGAAAGCAAGGGCTGTGGAACCAAGAGCCAAACATGAAGTTGTGGAATTTTTTTTTTTTATAATGCTAAATACATGTAGTATGTATTTTTATCAGTTTAACAATGCATTGCAAAAAAAGGTTATCAATTTCTTGGTGCCTTTTCTGCTACATGTGAAAAGATCTAATAGAAAGAACCTGTATTATATGTCACAGTGCAAGATACTTATGTGCTGAAGCAGAATTTAAAAATGGCTTTGTAGTTGTTAACAGGTTACAGAAGAGACTTAGTGTTTGGGATTTTAGAATGGGGTTTTGTTTGCTTGTTTTATTAAAACCTATGTTTTGTCCGTAAAGTAACTGAACAGCATGAGGGGCTTGAGGAGCCTAGAAAGATCTGTCCCCTTCCGTGGGGACTATATTAGACCTCTGAGTCATGAAGTCTTTGCATAGTAGGTGTCTGGTTACAAACCTTTTATGGGCTCTACTCAGCTGGGATATCAGCATCTGCATTATAGCTCCCATCTATTCTTAGGTGGTATCAGAGCACGACTGAACAGGCAAGGCAGAGAGAGAATTGCTTTCATTTATGTAAAACCCTATCCTGTTCTCAGTCTGTTTTTTCACACTTTTTTCTGTCTGCCCCGTCCTTCTGTCCTGCAGTGCCCTGTTGCTGCCTGTGAAAGTGGTACAACATGGCTTACAGTGTGACTCTGAATGGACCTGGACCGTGGGGCTTCCGACTGCAAGGGGGCAAGGACTTCAACATGCCCTTGACCATCTCCAGAGTAAGTGTACAAAAAAAATCTTGTTGAGCTTGTTTGGGCTGGAAAATAGCAGTCATATGTACACTTTGACCTGGCCTAGCAGAATTGAAGATCTTTGCACCTAGGTGTGAATAAAGACAATATAATGTGAACTAGAAATCTGCCAGTTTGAAGTACGACCTGGCAGTGATAATGCCTCAGGAAGACAGTTGTGGTTAGTATATTTGTATGGATGGTGATACTGTCTCATAAGTGAGCTTCCAGTTCTATTTTGTACAGTGTTCTCTTTCTGCTGACTGGTGCAATCTGGGGGGAAGGAAATAGAACAGCTCTGAATGGGAATATAGAATTATATTTCTAGAAAATAAACATCTAACTGCTTGTAAGTATGTGAAGTCAGGTGTTCAAACTGAACAAAGACAGGGATATGACCCTTTTGTGATGGGGTGTAATAGTTGGATAAAAATTAGACATGTCAAGCAGAAGACTCAGTAGTACTTAAAATTCTGTCTTAAATTATGCAGAAGCCTTCCATTTGCAGCTGACAAACAGCATGGATTTAATAATTAATTACTCAGTGTATCTGTCAATTACAGCCATATATCTCCTAGCTGCCTTTTACTTTTCCCCTTGAAGCATTATTTTACGGTGTTGCTGTTCAGTACTCCTATTACCTGAATTAGCTACATTTCTTAAATATTTTTAACATTGAATGGTTTTCAGGAAATTTGTGTTTCCCTTACCTACTTTTCTCTCATAAGACAGTTCTGTGTGACTTCTGGTAGCTCCCTTCTTCTTTTCTTGTTTCCGACAGTCTCAAATCAGAATGTTCAGATCTTTCTAGAGAGGTCTTGGCTCCTCCACAAATCACCTACAGAAGGCTTATTTTGCAATACAGTGACAAGAGAGGTTACTTACATAACAGTATGTAAGAGAAATACCAGAATGATTTAATCAGACAAACAAGTAGAATGCAAATAAAAGGTCTGCTTCACTGCAAAAATAATAATAAAAAAGCCACCTACACTGCTTTTAAAACTGTTGATTTTTTTCATAATGAAAAAATACCGCCTGTTAAGTTGTGGGTACAAAATGTATATCTCTACAACAAATGTGATTCAAAGTCACTTGGTGGGCTTCTGAAATCTTAGCTATGCTATTTCATATTCATCCTGTGAAACTATATCACCTGATCTCCCTTGTTCTTATGCACATTATCTCTTTTTTGGAAAACAGGGCCACATTTACCTTAATACTATGATGATGAGACGTACTTTTCATAACTCCTTTTGCAGCATAGTAATTGCAAAGAAGGCTGTACTGGCAGTTTTATCAAAAGCAAACAAGCAAAAGACAACCTAAAATACCTCCCTTCTACAAAAATAAACTCGCTTCATAAACTCAGATTACTTTTGCTCGTGTAAATAGTGTTGGTATTTCTTTTCTCATCCCACCCAAGGTAAGTAGAGAGAGGTGTCACCATATTTTTGTAGGTGTTTTCATGACACTTTGCAGCCTGCACTGTATGGCGTTGATTATTTTCTTATAAATCATTCAGTCACACCTAGAGTCTGTCAGCCATGGGCCAGGGCTGTAGCACTTGCAGTGTATGTGACACAATCAGTAATGAAAACCCAGTTGTTTCCCAAAGAGCTCATTGTCTTAGATAGTAATCTGTGAAAGTGCAAACACTATGCCCAAAGGCTGTATGAGTCTCATGAGGCTTTTGAGAGAAGCAGAAGTGAAACTGCCACAGCTGAATTCCCAGAGGTGTGAAGGAATTAGCTCTTCGCAGACTTGACTGCATTTTCAACCATAGCAGTGTCAGAAAGCACTGTTAAATGTTTTTAAACTCTTCCCAGTGAGGCCCAGCTGGGACTACAGCTTTGGGATGGGATTGGATTTTAGAGCCTGCCTTATGAGGGCAGAAGCATAGTCTCTTTCAGGGTGAGCTGGGATAGTTATGCCTGCTGGTTGTGACATTTTTGTGATCTGTTTTTTTTTCTTTATTGTCTATCACATAAATATATCTCCAAACCAAATCAGAAATTTCAGTCATAAGTGAGTTGACCTATGAACTCAGCCATAGTTGCAGTTTTATTGAAGTGGGAAAAGGGAAGCTGTACTTGCATTTTAAGATATTCCTGATGGGGAGGAGGGGAGAGAAGATAACTGTGAGGAAGATCTCCTTCTTGGAAAGGGTGCAGAGCTCTAAATGTTGCTAGTGGATGCTGCATATTTATGGACTGGTTTTGATTCACAGCTGCCCTGAGATGAGATTAGACTTTCTAGGTGCAAGATGAGTCCTAAACTTCAAATACTTCAACTTAGAGTATTACAATTGCTTTTAATGTACCACGGCAGATGTGCCATTGCCCTTTTGGCTACATGTGCAGTGTCCTTCTAAGCCTGCAGACTGGGCTTGCATGCAGACATGTTCATTCTGCTCTGACTGCTCTCAGTTAATTGGACTGTCTGTGGGTGGGCCACAGAGAACAGAAGGATTCCTCCTTTTTCATGAAGGCTCTGTGCTCTTCTGTCATGATGCAAGAGTACTGCCTCTAAACTCAAGAAAAATGGTGGAAGGAATCTAACACAGCAGGGTTGTTCATCACATCTTCAGTATTAGACCAAGATTTTTCCAAGCACCCTCCCAAAAGAGGGCACCAGTATTGTGCCATTATGAAGCTAGCCCATGCATGGACATAAGGTTGACCTGTTGACCTGCACTCTGTCAGCCAGCCCTACACAGTTCCTACCCACATCACACTTTACCTGGACAGTAGGGGAGAAATCATGAAAGTCTTTGAACCTGCTGAGAAAAGCACAATACAGGATTGTGGGATTGCTAAGCCTTCTGTTCAGGAAAAATGTTCTTAACATGGTGGATGAGGAAGTGAATTATGCAGAGCTCTTTGGCATAACAGTTCACTTCTAAAGAAATCTTTAAAATGGTGTCTCAGACACTGGATTTTCTTCCATTAAGATAGGCCCAGGTGATCAGCTCATTGCTGAATAATCAACAGCATAATGCGCAGGGGGACACAGTCAGTCATTTGGGTGACAGGTGAAGATATGTTCCCCTGAAATGGATTGTTCTGCTTATCTGTTCTTTATCTAAAAATAAATACCTGACTAAAATAGGGGATGGGAACAAGAAAGCAGGAGACAAAAACAAGTAGGGAAGAGTTAAGGTCACTCTGCAGCTTTCACTCTCCTTTAACAATAGTATCGATTAATCATCTGTAAACTATTTTTCCAGTCCCCACCCTGCAAACCATCGTACCCACTAGAAAAATTGTCATGAGATGTCAAATTCTGTTATGAGATGTCAAATTCTGTCATGAGATGTCATGAGCAGGTAGCAGACATAGGAAAACAGTATTGACAAACTTAATAAAGCTAAGCATCTGTCAGCCCTGCTGAAATGAATGAGACTTGCAGGTTGTTGGCAGTGCAAAGTGTTGTCACCAGTGGCGTGATCATATACATAAATCTGGTCTTTCCAAATTGAGGTGGGCAGCAAAGCTGTTTATTTTCTCCTACTGCTTGAACTGTCTGGAAGCAAGAAGAAGTCATTAATTTTATAGACCTAATCCTCTGTAAGAAGGCTTTTGGACATAGTTAATTATCTAAGTGCTCAGTTGCCATGGCACCTAACATGGTATGATTGTACATGGTTGGTTGCAATAACAGAACATCTTCATATAATTCTGAATCTATTTCTGAACAGTAAACTTTTCTAGTGAGATAGGCTGGCTTGCAGGTGATGCAATGAGCTGAAATGTGTGAAGGAGCAATCGTTATCTGAGGTAGTGGAAATAATATTTTAATCACTGTGGTAACTCATGACTGGTATATTCACTCTGCAGTTATCTATACAGTTTTGTATTTTCTAATAGAGAGGTTGGGTTCCGCATCAAAAGCCAGAGCCTGAGACAGGAGATAGTGTTTAAACAAAACAAAAACTTTTAAGAAATACTTTTCTTTATTTGATAAGTGATTAAAAGGTTGACATCTGCTGAATGTGTAAGCCCAGGGAGGGAAAATAGCAAACACTAAATTAAATAGCAAACACTAAATTAAATTAGCTGATCTGTATACTGACTCTGCTACAAGCAGTCTGAAACGGCTTTTTGAGTCTGGGGGAAAACCCTGGTCTAGTATTTTGAAGTCTGTCTCTGCAGGAGCAGGAAGGGTTTTTTTTCCTCAGAGTTGTTAGGCTCTTTCCTTTTATCAGCATCTGTGTCTGATTGCTTCCTGTCCCTCCTCCACTCCCTAGCATACATATGCCAACCTCTGGCTGTCACTGCCTCTGCTTTAGAGGAGCTATGTGAGAGTATTCATTTCCTGTGTTGTGTATCAGTGCCTTACAACAGGCAGCTGAGGAGGAAAGGCAGTCCCTCTTGACTTTTTTTCTTCTATTCTTGAATGCAGGGAAGCCTCAGATGATCTGGGTCAGGCTCTGTGCATTCTGCAGCTGTCCTTTGAATGGCCATGTGGTGCTGTACATAAACTATAATCAGGAAAATGCAGTCTACCTGTATTGAGTGAACTGAAACAATTCAGCATGTTCTCTTGAAGTGCTGATGCAACATCCCCTGTTAAGCATCCACCTTTGGTGAGTCAGACTGCTGAATAGCTGTCCTAAAGCTGCAACTGCAGCTTTGAGAGGGCTTTTCTTATTCTCCAAAGAAGAAGTCATTCATCATACCAAAAACTATAGATTAGAATTTATAATAGTTGATATTCTATTAAACTAACAGATTAGTCTGATGTCCTCGAGAAGTCTAGGAGTCTTCCTCTTTAACCATTACGAAGATGTTTCCTTTTTCCTTTAAAGTTCAAATGACTGAGTCAACTTCTGAGAAGGAAGTGAGCCATTCAATATAATGACGGTCTTATGCCTAGACAAACTGCAGTAATTTCTTATGCTTTAGCAGTTTCACATTCTTCCACCCTTCTTCAGTTGAACTCAAAATATTCCCTTGCAAGAGGAAGATTAAATACTTCCAGGCCAG